AATACTGAAGGCTGTAATATGAATATTGACATTGAAACAATTCCAAAGTTTTTTTGACATTTCAGATTATACTGAGCAGAGGCTCAGTAAAAAAAATCTGCGGGATTTTTTTTTTTTCTATTTAAGAAGCTAAAAAGTGAATAAGCAAACAGGGAGATTCAGGCTTGACATTAGGAAACACTTCTTTAATGAGAGGGGTGGTCAAGCCACAGACTTCCTAAAGAGGTGGTTAATGCTCCAAGCTACTCCACGTTCCAGAGGCATTTGGACAATCCCCTCAATATGGTTTAACTGATGTTCTGCCCTAGAGTGCTCAGGTAGCTGGATTAGATGGTCATTTTTGGCCCCTTACAGTTAAAATGTTCTCAATTATTATGGTGCATACTTGATACTTCAGAGTTGGAAAAACAATGTTGAAAGGTTCCTAATTCCTGTGCTAATTATCCAGTTAGTGATTTTTCATTGTTAAAGGCAATCTTTAATGTCCTCTACACAATCCTTGCTACTCCCCCCCTTTAAAACAGTTTAAATTTCTGAAACAAGTACTTGAAATTGGGAATTCACCACAGAAATGTTACTTGACTGAGTGTTGTCAGAGTAAAACACAGGGGTATTTTTAGGCCACTCCATGAAAATGTTGATTGCTCAGCAACTACGTAATTTTAAGATTAGAATTCTCTTCTTCCTGTATCAGAGAACACCTTTTCACATATACTGAATTAAAGAATATCAGACTATCAGGGCAGTGCTAACAATTAAATTACATTATTAAAAAAAGGTGCCTGTCTTAGTTTAAATACATAACTGATCCCAGTCATGGTTTTGGAAAAGATTGGGCAGGTTACAACTAAAAATGTCTCAAACATGCATAGGTGAACTTTTGATCCCACTGGAACTGTACAAAGGGTCAGTAATACCTCACACTGCACCAGGAATGGACTTCTTATGTGTGATTTGTGATATTCAGTCACTGATAACTTCTTAATAAAGACACATCTGTTTATGTCATTTTCAGGTAGGATAGAGCACATTCTTTTGTATAGCATATTTAATCTTGAAACATTCTTAGTGCTTATGAAACCATAAACTCCTGCAGATACTGTTGAATGTACTCACCTGTAAAACAGTTCATTGTTCACTAGCCTTTATAAATTAAACCAATGGTTTAGAGCAGAAAGTGATGAGGAATGCATTATCCACATGAAATTATGTGGGCAATTCAGGGCAGCAGAATACAACTATTTATGCAGAGATTTGACAAGAACCAGAAATTTGTTGAGAAGGCTAAAGCTAATACTCCTTTCTTTACAGAAAACCAACAAGATAGGTACTTCCTTACCTCTTATCTGAAAAAGTGTCTATCAACATAAATGGCATCTTGAATCCACCTAGAACACTAGCATTAGTTCACTAAGGGTATCAGAAGAGAAATGAGAAATACTACAAAAATTCTGTCAACTACATTCGTAGCAATCTTTTAAAGAAACACAAAAATGTTTATAAATTACAAATTAGAGTGAGAATTTTCATTCTGACAATTTGAAGGGATATCAAGTTATTTTTCTGAAAGAATTTCAGAATTTTACAGTACTGTTATTTCCCATATGAACACAACAGTGTTTCCTTTCATTTAATTTACAACCTTTTTATTTTCATGTACCAGGAGGTTTGTCTTTAGCTTGCAAATGTTCTTGCAATAATGTATGTTTTGTTGTGTTATAAATTCCACATTTTAATGCATATCCTGACCTGTACTTGAAAAGGATAAAATTTGCTGCTTGTTTATTATTTAATACACATAATAAGGCCACAAATCAAAATTGGAGATAATATCACTGTCACTTGGAATGTTGTTCCAATATTATGCTAATTAGTATTTGTGTGTGTGTGTGTGTTGAGAAGCAGATGTCTATAGATAATGCTGCTAAAAAATTAATATTGCAGTTTAATGGAATAGTACAGATTAGATTGCAAAAATTTCTATCAGCCAGTCAAAGAGTGTGCTTAGTTATTTAAAAAAGATTTTATTTGTTTTTTCCCTCTTCCATTCCACCTCAACCTTTCCAAAGCTATTATATGGTCACCTTAAATGAAGTGGATATATGTCCACAGAGTTTTGTAATTTTATTGTTAGAGAAATTAAAAGCTATTAGATCTTTCATCCACCCAAGAATCCTTAGATAAAGATGTCTTACAGTCATTCTCACTTGGACCACAGTAGAATAATGATCTTAACATCCTCAGCATGACAAGTCTTCTTTAAATGAAAGAACTTCTTTTTTCTCACTGCAGGCATAGTATTTGCTGTTAAGAAGAGAGAAACAAAAACAAATATTTGGATACATTAGAAATACAGTATGATTCAGTCATTAAAAAACATAAAGTGTTCAGAAAAATATCCATTCATGTCTTGGTTCTAGTCTAAATTTGCATAAAGTTGGAGAAGCCAGTTAATATCTTTGGACCCTTTTCTGTAAGACTGAAGTTGAAAAGCTCAGGGTGATCCAGATCTGCTCAATAATTTCAAGAGTCTGTTAGAAGGTGTTCTTACAGAGTATCTATTGGATACTCCAAGCTATTTACACCATTCCTACTGTGAGTAATGCTAGTATTAGAAAAAATAACATCCTTATTTTATTGCTTCTAAATGGTTGATTAGTCCCTCAGATACACATATATACATATCACCACACATACTGCTCAACCTGCAGAAAAAAAATATCAATTTTCTTGGCTTTTTCTAGCCAAGAACTTTCATGACACATCCATTATGTCAGTAGCAAAATAACCATCTTAGAAAAAGATCATACATAAAATGGGGGGGGGGAGGGAAGCAGAACAGTATTTAACCTGCTTAAGCTTCAATCAAATCTCATTCATTAGACCTTGTAAAAAAAATTAGTCCTACATCATGAAGCCTACATAGGTGTAGTAGTTTGGAAGAAGAGCTTTTGGAGGAAAAAATTTTGCTCTTCATGTTCTGCAGTATAAATGTCCTGTGGAGAGACGTAGGACTGAAGTCCCTAGGCTTGCCAATTTCTTATCTTGTTTGAATGTGAAATTAATATTTAAAGCTATTTATTCAAAATTGACTTAGCCACTAGAATAGGAAAGATCAGACAATTCAGTTGCAAGAAATGAAGTATGAGGAAACTGGAACTCTTTGACAATGTAGTCCTTGGAGTAAACGTGGTGAATGAAGCCAGCAAGTAAATGATAAGGGCCTTTGCGCTCTGGTTGTAAGAAGGCAATTTATCAACAGTACATGAACTCTCTAGTGACCATAAGACAAGAAGAAACCAAGTACAGGAGAAGTCCCTATAAGATTGTTTTAAATGCCCAGAAATTTCGTTTGGAGAAGAAGAGAAGCTTAGGTGCTGCAACATAGTTCATATATAGAAATAAAATTAAATATAAACATTTATACATCATAGAATGCATGATGTCATATGCAATTCCATCTTTTTTAACTTCACAAGGGGATAAGAATTACCTTCCTCCTGCAAATTTCCCTTATCGCTGAATTATTCAAATCACAGTGAATAACATGGAATTCATAAAGCCAGGTAAAAGGAACTATCCAGCTCTAGTAGCAGTGAATTAATGATCAAATTTTTGGTAAATCAGGAGCCTTAGTTTTAACATGTTTAAGAGACTGGAGTTAAGGGAGTATCTGTTTTATTTTTTTCCTCTAGAGATTAAGTATCAAATCCTTAACAGTCCCATTCAATTTGGCATTGCTTCAGTCTTGGTCATTAGTTAATCATAAATTTCTCTTGAACTATGAGTACTGTAATTTCTGAGTCTCACCTGAGAACCCTTCTGCCATAGCAATTAAAATTACTTGTGACCTTTGGAAACTAGGGCTGTTTTTGACTGCCTCTGTGAAAAAGGATCCCTTAGTTATGACTGGCATCCATCAGGAGTCCATACCAGGACCAGTACTGTTTAATATCTTCATCAATGACATAGTGAGGCCATCAGCAAATTTGCAGATGACACCAAGCTGAGTGGTGTAGTTGACACAGCAGGATGTCATACAGGGGGACCTGGACAAGCTTGAGGTAGTGGACCCATATCGACCTCATGAGGTTCAACAAGGTCAAGGTGCTGCATCTGCGTCAGGGCAATCACAAGCCCAAGTACACACTGAGAGATGAACTCCTGCAGAGCAGCACTTCAGGGAAGGACCTGGGGAGCTTCAGTGGGTGAAAAGCTGAATATGACTCAACAGTGTGCACCTGTAGCCCAGAAAGCCAACCATACCCTGGCTCCACAAAAGCAGCATTGCCAGCAGGGTGTGGTAGATGATCCTGCCCCTCTGCTCCCCTCTGGTGAAATGCCACCTGGGGTAGCAGTGCCCTACTACTACTAGTAGTCTGGGGTTCTGAGCAAAGGGATGATATGCACCTGTTGGAGCAAGTCCAGAGGAGACCACCAAGATGATCAGAGGGATGGAGGCCCTGTCCTTTGAGGAAAGGCTGGAAGAGTTGGAATCCTTCAGCCAGGGGAAAAGATGAAAAAAAGCTTAGGCAAGGGTCCTTGGCAACCTTATTAGGCTTTCAAAAGAAAGGGGGTCTACCAAAAAGCTGGGAAGAGACTTTTGGCAAGGGCATGTAGTGATTGGACAAGAGGTAATGGCTTTAAGCTGGCTTAAATCAGAGTAGATTTGGATTACATATAAAAGAGATTTTTCCAAAAATGTTGAGGCATTGAGGTAGTTGCCCAATGAAGCTGTAGATGCCCCATCCATGAAAATATTCATGTAGGATGAAGCTGTGAGCAACCTGATCTAGTTGAAGATGTTCCCATGGCAGGGGAGTGGATTAGCTGATTTTTAAGGGTCCCTTCCAACACAAACTATTCTGTGACTCTATGTTTCTATGAATCATCCAGGTGATATTTCTCTGGAAAATAAGTGTATCTGCCACATGACTCTTTGGAGTTGTTTTCTTGTCTTTTCTTTGCTCTTTCCTTATACTTGACCCCTTTTCTTTCAGCCTTGGACAAACTTAGTACTCAGCACCTCTACCACCCAACCCAAGTGGAGATTGTGCAGTCCAATGTTGTGTTTGACATCAGCAGCCTGATGCTCTACGGTACTCAGGCTGTGCCTGTGAGACTGAAGATACTGCTTGACAGGCTCTTCAGTGTACTGAAGCAAGAGGAGGTGTTGCATATTCTGCATGGCTTAGGCTGGACACTGCGAGACTACGTTCGAGGCTACATTCTTCAGGTAGGAAATAAAGCAAAGCATGTTTTCAAACCCAGTAAATTGATTTTTTTGTTGTTGATGTATGGATGTAGTGATGGTGCACCCAAGGTAGAAAGTAGAAGGATATGAAGTGAATTTCTGGCATGTTGAAGCCTAATGATGGTGCTGGCAAAATAAAATATTCAATTTTTCCTAAGCTAAAAAAATACAGGTGCCTTCATACCATAGTATTTATTTGTACTTGCTTATGTTTACTGTAGGAAATGCCTTAAATACTGCAAATACTGAGGTTAGCTACCTGCAAGCATGATCTGGCCATCAAAGGCAGCTGGCAAATTTTCAAGGGCTACTGTTTGACTTGGGAAACTAAGATGCAAGTCAGCAGCTCTGTCATCTTTTCTCTCCTTCTTCAGAAAGATACCTAAAAATGTATAGATGAAATTGGGGTTGTGACCATGACTATATTGGAAAGTATCCTTATGTATAAACAGGAAAATCCTTTTAATAAGGCCATTTTTGAAATATTGCTTTAAATAAAGTATTGCGTGCATTTTAGTTGAAATAGACAATCAAAAGTAAAATATGTTCAACAAAAAGCTGGACAGACTTGTTTTATGGGTATGGTCATAAATATACATATAGCTGCTTATCTGAAACATTTCATAATCTATTAAATTCCATAGTAAATTTTTACATTTTGTAAGACTATTTGTGATTAATAACCTAGTACTTCATACTTCTGAATTCTCTTAAATTGCTGCTGACTTTGTAGGAGCTCTTTCTTATCTAGAATGCATCCAGTTATTAAAGTGGACATGCCTAAAGAATTTTGAAAATTTTAGTTGCTGATTTATTTCTTTTTTTTGTAGGCAGTGATAGCATGCTTAGAACTTTATTGAAAATATGGGATTTATACCTGCTCTGAGAAATCCTGACTCTATTTCTTAATTTGTCTTCTGGTTTCTGTACTTTGTGTGGAAGAAGTAAATTAGCTGTATGTGGATTCCATGGAAAACTTTACCTTCTGTGCTTGTAAATATTTTCTTAAATGCCCTATATTTTGGATTTTCACAGAAAAATGTACTGAATTTTAAAACAGCCCTAGAGTAGGACAACTAAAAAGGTTTACACTTCAATAATGAAATTGTTTTATTCTTGTTAGGACATATATGGAATGGGGCTCTTTAATTGTTTCAGGGTTCTCTCAGGCATCTGTTTTGTTCTATTTGAATAGGTGCTAAGTGTTGCACCTATTCAAATAGAACAGAATCCATTTTTTCCATTACCAATCTAAAATTAACATATAAGAATATATCCATCATATTTGTACAGCAGATATCTATGATGTTTGTATGATATAAATGTACGATATTACATATTTATACATTTAACATATGATATATAATTAAGATGGATACATGAGAGATATCTACAGAGATATGTACTGGGATAATGTGCATTTTACATCATATTTTAGATTCCTGGATTCTGAATGCTACTGATCTGGAGGGCTGAAGAAATTTGATTTGTAAAGGAATTAATGTAAAAAATATATAATTTTTAAGATATAATATTAGAAATCTGGTTACTAAATGTGATTAATAATTAGGGTTAATATATTCCAAGCATGGAATGTAATTCTTTGTTTCTTATAGACAAGAAGACAGACTGAAATCAGTAGTTTTCTTGTTTAAAGGCAGTTGAATCATGCTCATATTGATTTTTTTATAACTATCTTTTGGAATGACTCAATATATGCACGAATGGCTTGTGATATGATTACATAGATGTTTATACAGACTGAGACTGTGACCTATGAATCTGAAAGGTGTAAAGGCCTGTAATATCCCATTAGGTCACAGTTCAGTTTATCCAGCTAAAAGTCAGTCACATTCAGCCTCCAAGGCATGAATTTTGCCATTACTATATTCAACAACAGTATATTGAATATTATGCCATTTAAATGAGAACAATTATCAGTGAAAGTTAAGGACAGCTGTTACAGACTTGCCACATATTGACTTCATTAGCACTCGACTCTGGATTTTCTTAATGAGTGAATGAAGACCTATGATAGGTGTGTAGTCGAGCATCCCATTAGTTTAGCTGTCTAATTTCAAAGAATCACACACTGCTCAAGGTTAGAAGGGAGGTCATCTTGTCCAAACCTTCTGTCCAAGTAGAGCCACCTAGAACTGTTTGTCCAGGACCTTGTCCAGATGGCTTTTGAATGTCTCCACAGGAAAGAGCAAAAAGTGTTTTGTTGTTTCCATTAAAGCAGAAAACTCAGTATACAGCAGAAAACGAAAATTCTTAGTAAAACATGCATACAGAGAAACATTGGAAAAATGAATTAAATCGATTATAATAAAAATGTCTTCTTTAAAAATAGCTCTATTGAAAGTATCTGTTACAAAGGAGAAAGGGCTATGCAGGGAAATTTCAAAGGAAATGTGTAGTAACACTAGCACGGTATAAGTGCATACAGGTAATGTCTTCTTTGGGCAAAAGACATTGTTTCATGAAGCTTATCATTATAGACTGAAACTTTTCAGACTTGTTTGAGGCTTTCAGACTCAGCTTTTGCATACAGAAAACTGAATAAAATGTTGTAAGCATCGTACAGGAGTTTCAAAAATATCAAGTACCAAAACAAATCATCCAGAGTATCACAAACTATGGGACTGTTGATAGGCTATCATGCAGTGAACTGAGGAACATTTGACTCTCAGTCAGGAATTGCAGTTCTTTGTAACTTGTCTGTCCAAACCCACCCAAGTTATCATCTAATTGCAGTCAATTCTAGTAAATTTACATTCATACATGCTCATTGTACACCAAATGCAGAAATATCTATCTGTAGAAAAAGGTTTACCATGGTAGCGTAGTTAGAGAAGAACAATCTAGTAAAAATAATATTTTTCACTTGTAACTTTATAGAATCACCGTTCTCCTGTTTTATCCTCAGGGGAGGAAAAACGGGAAGCTTAGTAGCAAGGACTAAGAGAAGTAATAGAATAGAAAAAGGTAATGTTTGTAACAGATTCCAGAATACTTTGTCCAGGTTTGAGTTCCAGTGTTCATTAACCACCATGCAAGAGATTTGTAAAGCTGGCACAAAACTTGAGTTTTATGCTTTGGGATGCTCTAAGGCCTCCACCTGTGCTGAATGTGCCCTCAGTATGATGAAAGTGTTAAAATATTTTAACATTTTCTCTAAATGGAGGTGTTTTGAGGAGTAGGGTAGATGTATCCACTCAAAATCAATTACTGTTGTCAGATGATTTCCACAACCAACCAACCATCCAACCAACCAACCAAAAAAACCCCAATAACCAACAAAATGAGCAACCACCCTGCAAACCTCACAACTTTTTCCTTGTAACTTTACAGAAAAAGCTCATGGTTTGCTCCACTGGAGAAACAAGAGAAAAACAGTTGTTTATTAATGCTGCACAGTGGGTGGGATCATTTGTAATACCTTCATTTTGACCAATAATGTTTCCAAATAGCAAATTAAAAAGCAATGGGCAGAGAAAAATACAGTATTTATGCCTTCATTCAGTGGATGCATTAATAGAGCACAGGAAGTCAAGGAACCCTGAAGCTGCGGAGGTAATTTGATAACACCGCCTTTTACATTTGGGCACAGTCACAATATTGCCAGTAATGGCTGAAAGGCATTAAGACCTGGCAAGATTCTCTGGCCTCCATGCAATAAATTGAGTTTCTAGTGAATAGATGCCTATCAATGAAGTGTTAGTGACAATTTGGTCACCAATCTCATCAGACTGCCACAGGATTAATGTCTTGGCAGAGGAGCTGTTCTCTCATCTTTAGAACTGATCCTCAAAAAAACTTTATGGCATAAAGGAACATTCTGGATTGTGTTTGCTCCATAGGAATTCAGAGTGCCTCAGATTTTAGACTTGTTTTTTCTACCTCAAGGAACTAATTTACTGTATTTGGTATCAACCTGTATGCGGTCGATAGTGAGCCTGTAAGTTTTCTCTTTTGGGAACACCTAAATTCCCATGTCTTTTACATGACAAAAAAATTATTTTTGTCAAAAACAGTGGGTGTTTTGGGTCAGATACTGCACACATCAAAGAGATGTATATGACTAGTCTCTCTATTGATTTGAATGATGTTACATCTTCTGTAAAGAGCAGCTCAACTGTGAGTCTCCAACCCTGGTTTAATTCCAGCTAAGCTGAGAGAAGAGGTAACTTTGCCAGCTGTTGTATGATCCACCAGAGATCACAGGGTTGGGGAGAATACTTTACCCCATCCATTTGCTAGTGTAGCTACATGTGTAATTGCTCCCTAGCCAGGTTCTCTTTAAACAAACCAGGTTAGAAAAATCCTCCTTCTAAGCATGTGTAAGTTAACGCTCATTATTCTGAGAGGAAAGGGCTAGAGTGCAATTATGCCACTAGCAGTGAACAGCTGGGGCATTCAGCTTTTACGCTAGTCCAGCTGCAGAAGACAGGACATGTGATTACAACTTAGAGGCCATAAACTGACTCAGTGCAAATAATGATTCAGTGTTTGAGTAACAGCTCAACACTTTTTCAACTGTTTTGTGGTCAAATAGTTGTACTCTCTTAGTGAAAAAGATGAAAATACATATTTTCTTTACAATACAAAGAAGGAAGCAGAGGCACAGAATAGAACATTGGCAGAATTAGCAAAAATGGTCTAGGAGTCCCATTCTTATCATCACGCCCTTGAAAAAAGTAGATTAGTCAGTAGCTCATAGGCAATGTTTTAGCTGCCAGACTCTCTGGTGCCGCCCACAGCTATGAGAAATTTTTAAAAATAAAAAACACAGAACAAAGTCAAAACTAAAGCCAGCTGGAAGACTATGGATATTTTATAGATACAAAAGGAGATTCACTCACAAAAGTTCATTTACTGGACATTGCATGGGGAATCACTAATCCTAAATGAAGGTCTTTTCTGTAGCAAAATCAATTATGAAAAATGACGAAATTCAAATTTATTAGTTTGCTTTAGGA